AGTAATTACTAATTTCTGATTATTGATTTCCGATTTCAACATTTTTTTTTGACTTTTAGATTAGACAAAATTTGCGTATCTATTATTATGTGCATATTCATCATTTTGTAATATATTTGCAAAAATAGGTGTTGCGCATTAAAATATCCAATCAAATTTTTACGATCTTCAAATTTCACAAAACCGCAATTGGTTGCAACTTATCGATTAATTGATTAGTTGCAAGATAATTAACCAACTAATCGATTGAAAAAAATTTGCCGATTTGTAACACTACTGCATAACATTTTTAAAATCAGAATCTATTCTCAGTCTAAAAGACAACTTTAAAATTAAATGAAAATTATATTTAAATATCACCAGATTAAGTAAACTTCCATTAATAAAATTTAAAATAACCTTTATTTAATCCTTACCATAAAATATAAATTTAAAAAATAATAAAGTTGCGCTAGTTGGTGCCCTCTAACGCATAGTCAAGAGGCTATATATTATAGATGCAGACTTATGACATCACCTAGTTACATCCTATATAAAAAATCAGTTTATAAAAATAAAACACAATTGAGCTGTAACAAATGACGTAAATAAGTCTGCATCTATACTATATATATATATATACAGTTTATATATATAGTTAATTGTACAAAAAACTTAGTATTTAAACATAATTTGTGTATCGATTTTTGTTTAATTGAATTGAAGACCCAAAAGTAATGTAGTCTGATATTGAATATTTTGCTGTGGAATTTCCACAACTTGCCAACTGGTAAATGGATTCGAACCTTTGACCAAATCAGTATATTGTTGAATAGCAGTGAAGGAATTAATAGATTTATTCCATGGGTACTATGTAACAACCCGTGTTTTTTTGACAAGGTTATTTTCATCGGTCTATATGAAAATCATATAGACCGATGTGAATAACCTTGTCATAAATTGTATGCTAGAAGGACTATTTATTAGTTTGGATCATTTAAAATTGGAGACTATATCTGTTTCGGTCATTTAAAATTGTCATTCGCTGAAGGACTTTAACATTTATTTATTTATTTATATTAAAAAAACATGCATTATTCAATTTTCAAATAAAAAAAAATCCATGTAAATAATTAAAAATGATAATGAAAATGATAGTGAATTTCTTTTCTATTTGAATTACTATCATTGAGATCCTTGATATCTTGGTAAGTCACAGATAAAAACTGATTAGAAATATCACTTAAAGCTGGTCTTGATTGTGGCAAAGAAAGTCTAGAAATATGTGATGGCTTTCTTTGTGGTGTTTGAGAAGGTTGATCTTTCAATTTTTTATAGAGCGGCTTAAATAGTGCAAACAGTTTCTTTGAAACATCATGCTGTGACCATAATAATGGTCTTTTTGATGGTGCTGACGATGACCTA